CAAAAGTCATGTGGACTCTCGCCAATAGGCAAAAATCCATAAGGTATGTTGGTGAAAGTACGATGGAATTTCGCCATTGGCGAATGGCCAGTTGGCGAAAGTCTTATTGGCGAAGTTCCGGTAACCCCTATTTTTATCCATTGTATTTGGTTGATATCTACAGTATAGATTACTTCTAAATACGCGCAACTACACTGAATAATCGGAAATGTGATACAAATAGCTTTTCTTTTGCGTTTACCTTGCAAAATTTTTTTTCTCCAGTTCGCATCAAGATAAGTAAGATGATTTTTTCACTGTAAGAAGTACACTAAATTTAGTCGAGAAGCTTGTGCTCCCACAGCCAAGAGTCTTGCACCGTCCCTGTACAGACAAGCATCTTGTCCCACGTTTTCTTAGAAAAAAGTGATAAAGCCTGGGCGTACATTTTCTTTACACCTGCCTAGCAACGACCTAACAACGGAAAATTATCGTTTTAAACCGTGAGAAAGAGTTCTTTGGTTATTTTTGACTAATCTAAGATGCAATTTAATAGAATTCTCAAAATCTAGATTAAAAATTTAAAATCGCCCATAACTCAGTAGTTAAGCATTTTCAAGACTGAAATTACCGTGGGCTTCACCGTGCTTTTCATATATAAAAAATGCCATGTTCGGGATCAGCGTTAAAAAACTCAATCACAAAATGTGTTTCAGAATTTTTGGAGTAGTTCGTATTTTTTTTTCGATTTTCTTAAAAACTGAAAAAGCCAGGACTTAACGCAAAGTCCAGAATTGCCGAAAATTTCTGAAATACATTTCTGGATTGAGTTTTTAACGCTGATCCCGAAAATGACATTATCTTTTGTCGAAAAGTTGAATTTTAATAGAGAAAACAGCAAAATACGAGTCTAATTGTATTGTTTTATCACTGATTTCGAAAAAATTGAATTTCTCACAGAAGACACAAAACGAACAAAACCCATACGTCGCTTTATTCCTGACAACCTCACTATCGAAATGAAATATTGACGAAGACTATATCTCTTAACCAAAAAACCAGATACATTTGCGGACTGGATCCGTCACATTTTCGACTCTAATCTGTATCGAAATGTTTTCGCTTATACTATGTACGAACTGGATCGAATCTAGATTTTTCTATTCACATTTTCATGCTAAATAAGAACAAACTTTGTTTCAAAGTTTCGAAACACAACCAACGTTCAAAAAATATTTAGCGTTTTTCTCTAAATTTTAAAAGTTTCGTCCCCAAAAAACGTGTTCTATAAGGCTAAAACAGGCATATTCTTACTCAGCTCGACGAACTCTATCAAACCATGTGTAAATAAACAAAAAACAAAATAGTGCTTGAAGGTTGAATTTCCCGCACCATACATCATCAATGACATTAATCATATGCGCAAGAAAGATAAATGCCATCTTGAATTTTTTGTCGTCTTAGAAGAGGGATGCCTGATATCTCGAAAAAATAGAAATCAACAAAACACGCGGATATTAGTACATGAGATATTAGCATATAAATTTCGGTATTAGGAACTCACGAGATTTTAGTAAAACATACTAGATATTAGTAAAATACTAAAAGAGCGGCTACTAGTGAAATGTTTTTTGGGGACTCACTCTCATGCCGCGCCCCTTCACTCCCTATGGTAATATCTCATGTATTTTACAGATCTATCTTGTGTATCAATAATATGTCGAATATTCCAGTAAAATCTCGTGTATTTTATAGATCTCTCGTGTATGTCACTAAACTAGCGTATGTTTCGCTTTGATTTTGTGTATTTCACTAATGTCTCGTGTATTTTACTAAAATCGTGTATTGCGCCAAAATCTCGTGTATTTTTTAGGTATCTCAAATCGCGAGTTGTCAGGCAGTACTGTCTTAGAAAGGAGACGAAAAATGATGTGTCTGAGTTGAGAACGATAGCGTGAGAAACAGTTATTAACAGTTCGATTGCTCATTGCTTGCACTTGTTTTAATCTTAGAATAATAAAAAAAATTTCTAAATTTGGCTTAAAATGAGCAAGGAACAAAATAAACAACAAGCGTCCAAGAAGACTGACGGTGATGAAGATAAAGGTGATCGTGAAGCCTTAGTTGTCTGGTTAGATGAAGTAAATATGAAAAGTGTCAAACAAGTGGGTGGTAAAAATGCTAGTCTAGGTGAAATGATTCAATCATTGAAAGACAAAGATGTACTGGTACCCATGGGTCTTGCTACAACTGCCTATGCCTATCGATATTTTATCCGATCAACAAATATTGAAGAAAAATTAAAAGATATATTGTCAAAATTAGACGAAGATCAGTTGTCAAATTTAAAAGAGGTTGGTGAAGAAGCAAGAAACTTAATTAAATCTGTGGAAATGCCAGATAATTTGAAGCAAGCTATTGGCGAAAAATATCGACAATTATGTGAAAAATATAAAAAAGATATTGAAAAACAAAAAGAAAAAGAGAGAAAAGAAGAGGGTTTATTGCAAAAAGTAAAAGATAAAGTAAGCGAAACATTAACAACAGTCATAAGACAAAACGATAAACAAGGTGAGACAATATTATAAAACATCTAATATCTTATTTGAAATAAAATTTATTTAGATGATGATAATAATGATATTTATATTTTGGATTGTGCTGTTCGTTCGTCAGCCACTGCCGAAGATTTACCCGAAGCTTCATTTGCCGGTCAACAAGAATCATATTTAAATATTCGTGGTGTTGATAATATTGTTGCAAGTGTTCATGAATGTTATTCATCTTTGTTTACGGATCGTGCCATTTCCTATAGAGTTCGTCAAGGTTTTGATCAAATGCAAGTAGCATTAAGTGTTAGAGTGATGAGAATGGTAAGATCAGATAAAGCATCAGCCGGTGTCATATTTACATTAGATACGGAATCGGGTTTCAATGGTGTGGTGTTTTTGAGCGCAGCCTATGGCTTAGGAGAAAATGTTGTTCAAGGTAAGAATAAACTAGATATAATAATATTTTTTGTGAAACTCCTTTATTATCTTCAAAGGAGAAGAAGTTAAAGTATTATACTCAAAAACCACTGTTTTGGCCTATTTGCTTTTGATCAGTTAAATAAAGTGAATGGATTGATAGGGAATAAATGCGAGAGTTAATTTGCAGGACTGTCTTGCTTTTGAACGCCTTATAGAAAAAATATCTAGTACTATTTGCTTCACTGGTTTTGCGAATATTTCATTTGATTTGGTACTATCGCCGTAGCCTTATGAATGAAATACAGGCATGTAACGAATCTAATACTGTTGAAGATTTATTGAACATTTGTATAGTGTTAAGCCCCCGATCGGAAATGGTGATTTTCGGTCAAAAAAATCGGTTTTGAGATATGCACATCGCCCGAAGTGTCTACTTTCAGAATCTGTACCGCTTTTGGTTAGCAAAGTGATTTTGAGCAAGTTTTCTAAAACTGGGTCTTCAAATAATAGTTTTTTCCTATTGATTTAAGCTTAAAATTTTTCTGAACACACAGATATGTAGAACAAACATTTCTGATCAAAATAAGACGTTTCACAACTCTGTATGACCTTGCATCAAAACATTACAGGGATTTTCCTACAAGTCCTAAAATTGAGTATTTTATACAGCGTTTTCTCTATTAAAGAGTTACACCTGAAGTATATCTCAAAATTTTTAAGCGGTTTTCGTGTAGAGAGTTTATTTTTTTTGTTTAAAAGATTAAAAGAAACTACATGGACTGACTGATGCCGATTTTTGAATTAGGTCTTAGTTTTTTGTCAAATTGAGGATTTTTAGAAAACCTGGGAGGATTTTTCGGGTTTTGGAGGTTGTTGATTGCCTGGAAATCTAATAAAGACTTAATTGAAAAATCGGTGCAAGTCAGTTCATGTAGTTAGGTGTCTAGCTTAAATCAAAACAAACCTGAACTCTCCAGCTTGAAGTATATTAGAAAATCTTGGAAGAATAGAAATTCTGTTATATTATGGTATTTACAAAAAGTTTTCAATGTCTTAATTTAAAAACAAAAAACTAAACCGATATTAAAATAAGACAAATTTTCAACGAAATGGAAACAAATTTTGTATTCATTCGTTTTCTAATCAATTTTAAACTCACTTTCTGCGTGGCGCCTGTATGTTTGCCCATCCTAATCTCTTCTATGTTAGTGTACACTATTCTCAATACCATCTTTCGGCTAATGTTACGGAGTTTCACCATGTCAGCCCCCCCCACAACGGGCTGTCCTGACAAGGTTTTTATTTTAGTTTAATTTTATTTTCAGGAAGTGTAAATGTTGATGAATGGTATGTTTTTAAAGAAACATTGAAAAATCGTGATAAAGATGGCAAACGTCTAAATCCAATAATTAAACGAAAATTAGGTAGTAAAGAGAAGAGAATGATTTATACGTCAGGTGGACGACCAGGAGAAGCACAAACAAAAAATATTGATACAACTATTAAAGAGAGACAACAGTATAGTTTACAAAATGATGAAATTATTAAATTAGCTGATTGGGCATGTATAATTGAAGATCATTATTCAAAAATTAACAATAAACCAACGCCAATGGATGTAAGTTTTTAAAAATTTGTCAGCCAATTGCTCTCCTATTTTGAATTTTATATATATATATTTTTTTTTTAGATTGAGTTTGCTAAAGATGGTCTAACTGGTGAATTGTGGATTGTTCAGGCACGTCCTGAAACTGTTCAATCTCAAAAAGCGCAATTGACTACAATCAAAACCTACAAATTGAATAAGGACAATAAACAAGAGGCGAAAGTATTGGCAACAGGAAGAAGTGTAGCACGATCGATTAGTAAAGGTAAAGCAAAAGTTTTAACGAGTGTATCGGAATCAGAAAAAATGGAAAGTGGCGATATATTGGTGGGTAAGTAAGAAAAATATGAAAGAGTATAAAACTTTTATAATTAAAAGTTTTTTTTGTTTTTTTCTAGCTCCACGTACGGATCCCGATTGGTCTTCAGTAATGAAAAAAGCTGTGGCAATTGTTACGGATCAAGGTGGTCGTACATCTTATGCGGCCATTATTTCACGTGAAATGGATGTACCTGCGATTGTTGGATGTGGAACTGCAACAAAACAGATAAAATCGGGCACAATGGTTACCGTAGTGAATAGTGAAGGTGATGAAGGAAAGGTATATGAAGGTGAATTAGAATATGATATTATTGAACATGATATTAAAGAATTACCAAAACTCAAAAAAACACAAGTATACATGAATTTAGCATCACCCGATTCGGCATTTGGATTGGCGAAATTGCCAATAGGTATATTTTATTATTATTTGTATTTATATTTATAACTAGCTTATATTGATATTTAGGCGGTATCGGTTTGGTTCGAATTGAATTTACTATATCAAGTGAGATTAAAGTACATCCATTAGCCTTAGTACATTACTCTGAAATTAAAGATGCTAAAATAAAGAAGGAAATTGATGATTTAACTATGGGCTATGATGATGATAATAAAAAACAATATTTTATTGATAAATTATCTGAAGCAATAGCTACAATTGCAGCAGCATTTTATCCACGACCAGTTATTGTTAGATTATCAGATTTTAAAACAAATGAATATAAACAATTATTAGGTGGAGAATTGTATGAACCAGATGAAGCAAATCCTATGCTTGGATGGAGAGGTAATATAAAATAATAAAAATTATTAGGTCTTGATAGAAAACACCGATTGGAAAAATGTTGAAAAGGAGAAGATTTCTTTCTGTTTCTTGAAAATCACTGAAAGAAATATAAGGTACAGCCAGAGATGGGCGAGTCACCACTTTTTCGAGTCCGAGTAGCATAAAAAATTGACTCGAGTCACCTCGAGTCATTTCGAGTCATTTTCTAGTGGTAGTCTTCCTCTTGATTCATTTTTTCAAGACAGCTTACTACTCACTGCTGTTGTTTTAAGCATTCGTTTTTACTCATTCTGCTGAATACTTCCTAGGTGTTATCTCGACTCTTTTTTGCAAGTTGGATCTAAAGATGGACACCATATAATTCAGTTCACATAAAAAACGTTTTTTTACTTAACAAGTCTAAAAACACTTTATAACAAATGTTTATTACATTTCAAATACGTTAACAAAGTTAGATTTTTCGATGTAAGCCGCGCACGATGAGGACGCATCAAAAATCTTTGTTTGTATTGTCGTTTTCTAGGTCTTCAATCCTGTCATGGGACGCGATGTTCTGTTTAGAATATTCTCAAATCTCTCTCTCTTTGATAGTATATAACAAATATGTTTAACATCCTCATAATAATGTAAAGTTGCACGTGACTGACTCGAAAGTGACTCGAGTCAGTTTATCAAGATTCTCGAGTCCGAGTTCGAGTCCGAGTCACAGAAAAATGTAACGCACCCATCTCTGGGTGCAGCTAATTCAAAAATCAAGTGAAATTTTTTTGAATTTATTATCTACCATTCGATAGAGCTTTTCAAGCAGATCAAGAATATGTAGCTTTTAATTTTTTGAATTTTCTTTTTGTGTCGAAAAACCGACGATGCTCGAAAAAGTTAGATTTTTCGATTTGGGTTTTTAGTCGGGACGTTCAAACTATTTTTTCTTATTCATCATTAAAAGGTGAATTAAAAAATGATATTAAATCCATTTTGAAAGTATACTTTCAAAATGGATTTAATATCATTTTTTAATTCACCTTTTAATAATGAATAAGAAAAAATAGTTTGAACGTCCCGACTAAAAATCCCAAATCGAAAAATCTAACTTTTTCGAGCATCGTCGGTTTTTCGAGTCTTTTGATTCTTCAAGCTTTTTCGATTTTTCGACACAAAAAGAAAGTTTCGAAAAATTAAAAAACGACATATTCTTGATCTGCTTGAAAAGCTCTATCGAATGGTAGATAATAAATTCAAAAACGATTTCACTTGATTTTTGAATTAGCTGCACCTTACGGATTTTTGTCATCAGGACGATTATTGGTGCCGAGTAAGAGTAGTACACATTCCCCAACCTCTTAGTAATTATAGTGACTAATTGAAAAAGTAAGGTATGATGAAGTTCCGTATGGCTGCAACACTGAACGCCTCGCCCTCACCTCACCCATACGCTTAACGCATCACTATGCAACTTGGTGCTGGGTGATCGGCTTCAAAGCAATCAAGAAATACAACAGCTTTTTAACAATGATTTGACACACTCAATGGATGATTTCTGAATAGAGATCAGTGTAAAACAACTACTGGCTGGATTATAGTTGTTGATCAGGAGATACAAAAGAGTAGATCACGATCTATCGGCCTTATCAGTTTTCTTCTGCTCTCTTTCTCTGTGTGATTTAATAAAATATCGCTTTCAGTTATTTTCAAGGAACGAAAAGGAATCTTGTCCTTTTCGCCATTTTTCTCTTCTGCATTTTCCTCTTTTTTTTATCGATATTTTCCTTTTCGACGTTTTCCGCCAACCTCACGTATTAATTATCGATTTTATTTCATTTTTTTTGTTTTCTTCTTTTTAAGGTTGTTCTCGTTATTATGATGATAAATATGCAGCTGGTTTTGCTCTCGAATGTGCTAGTATCAAACGTGCCAGAGATGAAATGGGTGTTTAATTATTTTACCATTTGACGTATACTTGACTTAATCTTGTAGATATTTATGGGATTTTTTTCTATGTAGGTTTTACAAATTTGATACCCATGGTGCCTGTTTGTCGTACTGTCGACGAAGGTAGAAAAGTAGTACAAACAATGGAAAAAAATGGTTTAAAACGTGGTGTAAATAATCTTCAAGTATATATGATGGCTGAATTACCATCAAATGTAATGTTAGCTGAAGAATTTTGTCAAATATTTGACGGTTTTTCAATTGGTTCAAATGATTTAACACAAATGACGTTAGGAATTGAACGTGATAATGAACATATTGCACATTTGTTTGATGAAAGAAATCCGGCTGTTAAGAAAATGATCGAAATAATGATACAAACAGCAAAAAAATGAAAAAGAAAAATTGGACTTTGTGGAGAAGGTAAACCACCATTTTAATTCATAGAATAATATCAACTTTACATTTTTATTCTCATTGTTATTTAGCTCCTAGTAATTATCCTGATTTTGCTAAATTTTTATTTGAACAAGAAATCGATACAATGTCAATCAATACCGATGCTGTTCTGAACACAATCCTATTATTAGGTATGTTCTATCAACGTAAAAAGACATTATTAATTAAATAGTATTACTCTTCTTTTTATTCAGGTAAAATTGAAGCTGGTGAAGATGTGAGTAAGATAATTAGTGGTGAAGAAGAACTCGAAACAAAAGGACAAAAACGAACAACGGTAAAGAAAGGCGAAACATCACCGGAACAACAGAAAAGAATGAAAGGTGATGATGGCAATGGTGATCAGAACGAAAATGACGAAAAAACGAAAAAAAATGAGACAACCGATCAGAATAATGACAATGAACACAAGGATAGTGAGAATAAGAAAAAAAATCAAAATGAAGAAGACAAAACGTCGAAAAACGAGCAAAGGAATAATGGTGATAAAAGTGAACAAAAGAATTCATGAAAATAATAAAAATAGATATTTTATGACTTCAATGATTTTTTTCCTGTATTTTTTTAATTTTTGTACCGCTAATCATCTCAAAACAGAACTGGACCCCGTAAGATTTGGAATAACGTCTGAGAGCACTTAGCGACAAACGTTCTTCAATAGCCACGGTTGGCGCTCGTAAGATATGGAGAAAAAAGTTATTATATACACCAACTTCAGGTGGTAACTTAAGTCTTTGAAAAAGTAATTGCTGTTTGTGCAAGGTTCAACTAATTCAAAAGTCAAGTGAAACCTTTTTCTGGAGGGGTGTCAGAATATCAGTACGCAGTGTATTCTCAAAACGAGACTGTTTTTTTCAAACTTCCTGGGCTTGGTCCATTCCCGTGCATCCCCACTGACAATACACCAAGCCCAGCAAGTGTATTCTCATTGACAATACACGAGAACAGACCAGAATACGCAAATATACAAATATTTTTAAAACGTGCTGGGCTTGGTGTATTCTCATTGACAATACGCAATTGTTGCATAGTAACTCACTCTCATGCTTTACCTCCCCCCCCGACCGCGACACTATATTATGTATTGTCAATGAGAATACACCAAGCCCAGCAAGCCCAGAACATTTTAAAGATATTTATATATTTGCGTATTCTGGTGTATTCTCGTGTATTCTCAGTGAGAATATACCAAGCCCGCAAGCCCAGCAGATAGTCTCTTTTTGAGAATACACTGCGTATTGATATTCTGACATCTCTGTTTTTCTGATGTTTGATTACACATTTAGATTCGTCTCATCGAGCTGATTCCGAAAAATACCTTCAGAACTTTCAAAATCTTTTCTTCGAGGAGAAAATCTCAAATTACTGAGAACGTGTCAAAACGGAGGAAAAAGGTCCTCTATGATAAAAATTATTTTTCGAAGGCGTATTACACAAATGAAGTTCTAAAAGCTTTTCTTTCTGAATCAGCGTTCAAAACTAAATGATGAAAATGTGTCTAGAAAAGAAAAAGAAAATAGTTCAATCCACCGACTTGTACTTACCTTTTTTGCATTCTCGAAGCGAGAAACTAAAAGTAAATTATTCTTAGTATATATGAAGGTATTCTAACCTTTTTTATGCGTTCAAAAGAGTACGATATAATGACAAAGGGCTTAGCATGCATTAAAAACGGAGAACGCGTGCGAACAGTGAGTTTTTTTATACCTTTACATGTATTCCATTGTTTAATGACTGTGAAGGGATGCAGTATAACGCCCAACGGCTTTACATGCATTTCACCATTTCTATCACATTTAAATTATTTAACTGTTCTTAGGTTACTGTTTTTACCGTTTACTCACACAATGGGTGATCTGGTTTTATCTGAACAGAAAAAAGGAAGAGGAAGGAATGTCAGGGACGGCTGACATAACACATTTGACAGTTGACTATAGATAGTTCCAAATGCTGAGCTGGAATATGAGGTCAGAATAAGTTTTCAAAATAGGTTAACGAACGATCTTCCATGACTTCGAATCCAAGACAATTTTGATCGTAGACGTCGTACGGTTGAACAACAACGTTCGTATATTTCTGCTTGAGATGTTCGGATACTTCTTGATCAACAGAAAATGGCTTACCCAAAATGTAATAAATGTCTGCGCCCGCTTGATGAAGCAGTTCCAAAAGTTCTTGTGTGTCTTTCAATAAGTGAATTAAGACAATCATACGACTTTGGTGTACCAAAAGTTCTTTGCGTGCTGACATATTGGCGCACACACGTAGAGAGCGTTGTCCAAAATGAAACATTGTTATATAAACTAGAAAACATCAAATTGATTCAGTCACAGTCGCTCTCAAAACAACACATCAATTGAGATGAAATGACAGAAATAATCTCTAAAACCCGTTCTTGGGCAGACATTCTTCATCCAGATCATTTGCACAGACGGACTTTGTGTTTTGCCGTTCGAGCAACCACCGGTCGCGAATCAGATATGCACTTTTAAAAATGTCACTCCACAAATGGCTTATAAAAGCTTTATTCTGTCGGAATACAAGGACCTCGTGGATACTTTCGGGTTGATGTAACCTCAAAATTCGTAGGTAAGCTCCCGTACCTACCCACACCGACCCTTCATTCTGGATCGTACCAAAGGAAATGTTGTTTGGTTACTCACTCTCATGCTGCCACACACCCTCCCTCCTCCATGTAAGCGTGCATTTTTATGCATAGTTTGCTACACTGGATCAGTAGGTACGTATAAGTATGAGTAGGTATGGGTAGGTACCTAAATTTTAGATTGCAGCAACTTTATGAAATTTGAGGTTGCGGCAACGCCAAACTATCCATCCTGTGAATACAAAAGAAAAATATCCCATTATAGTATTCTAAACTAAAACTATCGAAAAATACACAATCAGTTTTGTACTAGTAGAGATTCGAACTAGGGGTGGCACATTACTGTTACTTTTACGAGTAATCCAAATATTGTATATATTCATATTACCGGTAATAGTAATACTTTTCAGTTTTACTGTTGCTGGTAATAGGAACGCTCATAAAATTTGTACCGGCAACAGTAAAACTGTAAAGTATTACTGTACTGGTAATAGGAATATATACAATATTTGGATTACTCTTAAAAGTAATAGTAATGTGCCACCCCTAATTCGAACACATGAATTTCGCCTTGTAGTGAACTGCAAAACTAAATTCACTGTTCTGTGTCTATATTCGGTACAACGATTGAAGTTGTGCAATCGACGTCGATCATCGTCGACGATCGTTCGAACGGCGTGTATGCCTATATGTACTAATCGAGCATTTGCTTATACGATAGCGTCGGGAGCTATAAATCGATTTTGAACTAAAGTATTGATTATAATTTTAAGATTTGTGGCTATTTTCATCAAGCATTGGCACGTATGTCACCTAATCTTACCAAATACATTAAGGGTGTTGTCGAGGTTACCACGTTTGGGCATACGAAGTACATTTCCAAAGTTGAAAATACTCCAGTGCAGGTATATTCAATTCGATGAAAAAGATGGAGGCCCGCTACGTCGGAAGAGCTGCTGTTACCAACGAGCTGCTGCTGTGATCACGAAATATCGCATCAATTACCGATTGATGCGATATTTCGTGAACAAGAAGTATCAACGGCGGGAAGAACAGCCCTAGTAATTGGTTTTGGAATGATCGAACAATCAGTAGCAGATTCGTTACGGGCGAACAGCTACACTGTCAGCATTCTCGATTCAAGCGCTTATGCGACACTCAATGGCTTTACGCTCGGCTATAAAACTGGAACAAAAATTGAGCTCCTTCAAAACGCCGATATCATATCTTCAGCTACAGCGCAACAGTTCCTTTCCTATGAAGACATAATGGATTGTAAAAATAACGCCGTGTTGGTAAGTATGAGTTCCAGGGGCCAGGAATTCGACGTTCAGGGTTAAATTTATAACGCCAAAGGCGAACCGGAAATAATTGACCAATACTTAAAACGATTCAAATTTGAAACCGGTAAAGCCATCGTCCTCGTTCGAGATGGACAAGCAGTAAAGTTTGTGATTAAGTCTTGTCCAGACGAAATCGTGGACGTTATCCATGCTGAGATGCTTACTTGTGATTCATTGATTTTGAAAAACAGAGGAAAAATAGGTATCATTAATGAAACATCCAACGACGATACCAACACAATTGCCGAACAGTGGTTAAATCATATGCAACAAACATTTGAAGAAAATGATAAATAATCCTCAATTACCATTACCATCGTCAACAAATACTCAACAACCATTGACAACATCAGATAATGTACCTCAGCAAGTCGCATCATCAAAGCTTATACCTAGTATACCATCATTAGATACAATTCAATCAAATTCGACTTTATTCACAGCATCTTCTATCTTAATATCAACGGATAATAATGAAAGCATTATGCAACAATCATCATCATTGAAAGCTAAAAGACAAGTGAAAAGAATAGTTCAAACAATAGAATCTTCATATAACACAAGAGAATCATCAAAAACAACGTGAAGAAGATAATTTTTACATGCTAAACATTTCCTTATTTGTACTCCTTCGATTACTTCTTCAATGTTCTCTTGTATAGTTAGACTTTATATGAAATTGATGTTTTTAACTTAGTAATTTACTTATTGTTTTCTTGTATAGTTAATCTTTTCTATTAAGTATTGGATTTTTATATTTTTATCTTCGTTCCTTTTTATTCTTTTACATTTCACAGTTGACTACTATAAGCAAATATATAAGATACTAATAACAAAGTACTTTGTTGGCTTACAAGTAACAAAAACAGCTTTTTTTGAACAAACAGTTATTGAATGATTCCTGTAGCCTCTGCAAAAATTCAGGCGTTTTTTAACCGGCATCATATTTTTTCTCTATTTTCAATTGTCAATTGAGGAAATGGAAAGCACCATATTTGTATAATACTAAGGACTTCATAAAAGAGTGGAGTCATGGAGTCTGCTGTTTCCCCTTTGACTAATGTGTACTCTTTCTGGCGCTCTGATATCTGTGTACTTACTTTAAGCTCAACCTCGGAGCAAGTCTGAGATGATGGATTCAACTTGATTGTATTATGTTCCCGAAGAGAAAGCCGGATAAAACATAGTGAAATCATTATGTGAATTACCTTACGAAACACTTTATCTCGGGAGATCCAAGAAAAGAGGTACCTACCTCAAAGCGGTAACATCATTTGTGAATGATTTCAGTACTAATGTGATATTCTGAATGACAGTTATGAACAGTCATGAACCATGATTGAAGTATTTCACCAGTTTATGTGCTCTGAAGACCAATTTTTATCTATTAGATCTTCAGCTTTCCACTCGCTCTCACGATCAACCTGTCCTCTGATCAATTCTAAAATTTATTAGTAACGATAATGAGTATCACATTATTCATATTCATAAATTCACAAATTCCAAAAGTTCGTGAATTCTGGTCTTGGGAAGGAAATCTCAAATTTAGAACTTTGCACTATGACGGACAGCCCTCAGGATCTTCAGTAGTCAATCTTAAGAAGTGCATAACTCCAAAAGAGAAAGTCACAGAGAGCTGAGCGACGTCTCATTTTTATAGCGGACGCTTAACTATATATTACCCCATATCTGACTAGGAAATCGAAAGTCTTAAAACTTGAGCAGCCTTCTGTAATAATTATTTTTATATATAGCAACTCTATGGCCGTGGAAGTAAAGGTATTGTTTACCGGCCAAACTTCCACCCTTCGAGTAATTGAAATGTTTTCCTTGAGCAATGCGAAGGCCGGGCGTAAATGCAAAATACGAGTCACAAAATGGCTATAAGAAACGTAGGTAAGACTGATTTTTTTGTTAGTTTGCTCTGTTTCTTATTCGAAAAACTACCCCCCCCCCCCCCCCAAAAAAACGACCGGGCGGGGGGGTAGGCGCGGGGGGTGGAATTTTTTTTTTGGGGGGGGGTGTTTTTTTGGGGGGGG